CTCTCGGGCTGCTCAGGGGGCTCAGCTCGGTTCCGGCCGCGCGCTGGAACGGAGCTCCTGCTTGGGCTCATCCTGAGAATGCGGTGTCGCAGATGCGTTGCCGACGCCATCTCGCAGGCAACGGCGGGGATGGCGAAGTGGATTTCGCCGTGCGCGTCGCTGAAGACCAAGGTCGGAAAAAACAGACCGACTTGGCGGAGAAGCTGCAGACGAAGTTCGATTCGGCGCGCGACGAGAAGGAAGGCAGTCCCGTCGCGGCGGAGCTCGCGACCCAGATGCGGTCGCAGTTGTCTACGCTGCAGGCAAAGAAAGGCACGATGGCGCGCTTCATCGAGGGCGCCGGCGCCGCGGCCGCCTCAAGTGGGCCACGAGCAAAGCGAAATGCGACAAAGAGTTCAAGGTGCGCGAGTCTGCCCTGGACACCTTCACCGATCGGGCCGCGCCCCTCGCGCAGAAGGGGCTGTCCAACTGAGCGGGCTCGGCGCGCGCCGTCTGCCGGGGGGGGCGGGCGACAGACAGAGACAGAGACCGGCAGACAGACAAGGGGAAGGGGGAGAGAGAGAGAGAGAGAGAGAGAGAGAGAGAGAGAGAGAGAGAGAGAGAGAGAGAGAGAGAGAGAGAGAGATAGAGAGAGAGAGAAGAGAGAGAGAGAGAGAGAGAGAGAGAGAGAGAGAGAGAGAGAGAGAGAGAGAGAGAGAGAGAGAGAGAGAGACAGAGACAGAGACAGAGACAGAGACAGAGACAGAGACAGAGACAGAGACAGAGACAGAGAAAACAAAAGAGAGAGAGAGAGAGAGAGAGAGAGAGAGAGAGAGAGAGAAAGAGAGAGAGAGGGGGAGAGAGAGAGAGAGAGGAGAAAGAGAGAGAGAGAGAGAGGGAGAGACAGAGAGAGAGAGAGAAGGGAGGGCGTCGCATCCTGTTCAGGGTCGGTCTCGGGGCGCGTGCCATTAGCATGCTCGCAACTATCCTACTGGCTGCGGTTGGAGGGGGGGCAGGCGGCGCGCTTGATTGCGTGACGGGGTAAATGCGAGCGCGTGCCTGCCAGATTCGGGAGGTGGTCCCTCCGCTCCTGCTTCGGCTTCTATTCCTTATGACAATCGTCGCAGCGCGTGCCTCTGGCAACTGTTGCCCATCCAACTTTCGCCCATGGCCGTTTTGGCCAGAGCCTGCAATGCAGAACGCATGCGTCCCAGGCCTGGGCACAAACAGCGAGCCGCGCGCGCAGCCGATGGGCTATATGGCAAGCACTCGCGCGATCCCAGACGCAGGCCAGCGGGGGGCTCAAAGCAACGTGTCATGGCCCCCCGCGCCGCCGTACTTGCTGACCATCCAGCGCGGCAACTACGCTTGCCAGCAGCTCGGCCTCCACCGATGCGGACATCAACGATTACATATCACATTTGAGCCGGCTCTTCCCACGCAGCAAAATGTCTGCCCTAGATGCCCAGCTCCTGGCTTCGAAGTCGAGTCAGGCTGAAGCCAGAGGAGTCGATGATTTTGCAAGGGTTGGTTTCCGCAGAACCGAGCCCAAGAATCTGCGTCGGGACGTGCTGAGGGCGCGCTTGAAAGGAACAGACGCGTCGGACTTGTTTTGGGCGAAAGCACCGCGCTGCTCCCCCGAGACGGGCATCGAGAGAGAGGATGCGTGGATGCTATTTCCCCTTCCTCACGAGCTGCCGCATTGCCTCGCGCAGAAGGCTGGGGGATCGTGGGGCGACCTCTGCTCCGCGCCTTCAGGACTCGCAGCGCTGCGAGCCAAGGTCACGCGCGGGGCGCCGCATCTGTCGGGCGGGCACTTGATTTGCACCGGCTTCTACGGCGACGGAGCGCCCCATCAACGACGTAAAACCGTCGAGGTATACAGTTGGAATACGTTGGCATTCCCATCGTCGGAGCGCTTCCTGTTCACCATGGCTAAGAAAGAATTCATGCGTGTATTCGGGCGCGAGGGGCGATGCACAATCGATAGCGTGTTCGATTTATTTTGGAGCTTCCGGTGCTTGCACATGGGCCGATGCCCCACTTCGCGGCGCGACTTGCCGGAGTGGCTACCGTCAGACGAGAGCCAGGCGAAATTGAAGCATGGCAGGGATTGTGGATTCCAGTCGATGCTGTTGCAGATCCGAGGAGACTGGCAATTCGACAAAACGATGCGGCTGGGCATCCATATCAATTCGTTGGCACTGCGGGGCCACGCAGCCTGATGGCGACATGACCTTTACAATTTCAGCATCCTAGCAGCGTGGAGAAAATGCAGACACCACGTGCGCAATATGTTTAGTATTCTCAGCAATGCAGGGATTCCTTTGAGCCCCCTCTTCGGGGCGCCGTGCTTCCACGCGATCATGGTGACAGTGAGCGTCCTACCTTGCTTGGATCCAGGCGTCTCTCAAAATATATTTGGGATTTTTTTCTGGGAGGCCATCGCACCAACAAGTTTCTCCCAAGAGTCAACGCAGGAAAAACGAGTGGACCAGTTGCTCCTTCTCGTCAAGGAGCATTACAAAGAGTGCCGCACTCCTGTTCGCGTGAATGGTTTGGCTCTGGAGATGATTGCAAGGCAATCAAAGTCACCCAACTTTCGAGCGAAGGGGGCGGGGACTCGATACATGGTTCCATTCGGTTGTACTTGGCCGAGAAGATGTACGAGTTTCATGGCACCGTCCATTCGCTCACGGTACTGGAAATGTTGAGGTGTTTGCTTCTTTTCTACACGACAATGGGCAATGATGTTTACGGTGCCGATAGTGCAGCAAGCTCGTGTCGCAGGTGTTTGCTGCTTTATAATTCACTTTCTTCTGAAGCCAAGAACAAGGTTTCCTGGGAAATGCTGACCGGAACTGCACATGTGTCAGGAGATGGCGAAATACATGGGGACAGTAATCGGCAACCCTCGGCTTTTCTGGGCATGCAAGGACAGATGTCGTCGTGCCCATAAGCGAGTTAGCCCCTTCGAGAGGCAGTGGTGGCACGAGTAGCACCGTCCCTAGGGTTGCAATTACGAGGTACAGGGCCCTGGGAAAGGCCACGTGATAAAATATGCACCATCGCATCATCATCGTCATCGCCATCATCATCACCATCCACCACCTTACCTGTACATCCCAAGAGAAGACAATGGCCATGAGGGGGCGTGGGCGGCGACACACAGGGCGAACTGGCTGCGACGGGCTGCGAGCTACGATCCCCCAGCCTTCAATCCCAACGCCACTAGGCCACGAGGGGTACGTGCGGCGATGCCCTGCTGCAGGCCACAAGAGGGGCAGGCTTGGAGCACAAGCCACGAGCCCGCCAGACGAACCTCCAGCGCAGATCTCCGTTTGACAGGGCAATGTGTAAGCCCATGTAAGCCTCTCCGGTTGCGGATCTGAGTGAAGGGCGGGTTGGCCTCGATTCCTCGGCGTCTCGAGAACCGCCGCTTTCGAGGCGCTGCAATCAAAATCGACCGCGTTTTCGAAAATCCCGTCTCGAAATCAAGCGGCTCTGTCCCTTAAGAAGACGAGCTACTCTTAAAACATGCGGCCAATAAATCGAGACACCCCCCAGACCGCAGAACCCTGTCTCAGCCGCGCACGCAGGGACAGTCTAAGACCGTTCGGCCCCTCACTCCACTAAGTATAAAGTCCGTCGTTATGTTGGTGGAAGTGCAAGCTTTAGCTTGCAAAGGCAATTATATCGAATTAGCCTTGCTCGTGTAAGGTCAGTTATTGACACGTCAAACGTACAATTTCTAGAACATGAATTCGTGGCGGACGGACACGGTCCCTCTGTGGGGGGACAGGCCCGACCTAACTTTAGGCGGCGACATTGAGATCAGTTGTTCTTGCATCTGGACAGCATTGGGCCGCAGGTGGCCCTTCCCCCCCCTCCTCGGTCTGCTCGTCTCGTTTTGTAAAGGGGCGAAAATGGTCCAAATTGAGCCCAGATGCGGTCCCATGTGTCCCAAATTCTGTCCCATGTGTCCCACATCGGAGAGCGCCAGGGGCCACGTATCCTCAAGCACAAGAGACACCGAATCTTTATAGTATACGAATGTGTTCCAGATGTATCGATATGTGACGGTCAAGGGGCCCGATATCATTGCGAAGACGCCCAGCTCGAACCAGTTGCGACGCCATGATCTCGGGGCCCGCTCGGGTTGTAGTTGAAGGTGACAGGCCCTGGCATGGACACCCTCGGCCAGAGGCCGAGAAACGCAGTAGAGGGGAGACACCAGTCAAGAATCGCCTCAGGTCACTCTTCGGCCCGAGTCAAGAACAGTGGGAGGACCCCCACAAAAAAGTTACAATTCACACCAGAGAAAACTCAATCAGTGGATGGCTTTCGCTGAGGAGATCGACCGGGAACCCGGGAGCCCGGGAACCCAGAACCCACCGAAATCGGCCCAGAACCAGTAACCGAGAACCCGGGAACCCAGCCTGCTACCAAAATCGGCGGGAAAGTTTCGCCAAATCTTTCAATTTCCGCCAGGACCCCTTCAGTCCAAGCACGGATTGGGGAACCTATAGCCATCAGGAGGGAAAGAAACACACAGACACAACTAATCGTCGACCCCCCGGAAAATGCAGGAAAATATGGGAAGTGGGGGGGGGGGAGACGAAAAACACACACCGAAGATATGGGAAAGTATGTGGGATCCTGTTTTTAGTGTGTAGGTCTTTGTGTGTCCCCGGGCCCCCTTCAGGCCAGCTCGGCCCCGAGTCCGGCGAGGAACGGGAGGGGAGGGGGGCAGGACGAGGCCGCCGCCGAGGGGAAAGCACGCCGATGATACTGCCTCGACGAAGTCGATGCGATTGCATTTGGTGCAGATGTAAGTCGATGCGTCCTGCGAGTTCGACTCACCTTGGCCGAAAGGCCAGAAAGGCCAGGGGAGGGGGCAGGACGAGGCCGCCCGGGGCCTCTCCGGGAGGGCCTCCCCGCCCCCGCGGTGCGCCTCGCGGGCCCGCCTACGGGGCAGCCAGGGGGGGGGGGCCCTGCCGCCGCTCCGGCCCGCTCTGTAGAGCCGCGGGCGCCGCGGGGCCGGCCGAAGGTCTGCCTCGCGCGCGCGCGCCCGCCCGCGCGCCCGCTCGCATGGTGAGCGCCCGCAGGCCGCTCGCCAGGAGCCCGGGCCTCTCGTCCTGACGCCCGAAATGGGTACGGAAAGAATGGGTACAATGCCGAACAGCGGATCCTGCTCGCTTTGAGCAGGACTCGCTGTGCACGCCGCCGCGGCCTGCGTCCATCTTGAGACAGAAGGCCGCCTGCTCGACAGCGATGTTTGTTTGGGACAACATTGGTTGTTGGGCATTGTACCCATTCTTTCCGTGCCCATTTCGGGCGTCCAAATCTCGGGCAGGGTCTGAGCAGACCGGGTCGAAGGATTGCGCAGCAGCGCCGATGTGTCGGCGATGCGGCTCGATGTGGAGCCCGACTTTCTCCACGCCGACAACGCCAGTGCGTCGCCGACGTCGCCAGTGCATCGCCGATTCGTCGGCGATGCATCGGCGATGCGGCGCGAACCTCCGAACCCCATCTGGGGGGCCTCTGAGGCGGACGGGGCTAGGACGAGTACAAATCCGTTCCAGAGCGCCCCGGAACGCTCTCAGAGCGCTCCGGGACGCTCCGAGAAGGCCGTGGCGCCCGCTACCTTCTCCAGAGCAGCCGCATCCCCAGAGATCCGACGTCGTGATTTTCCCGAAAAGGGCACAGGCCCAGGGTTCTCTTTTAGGGGTTTGCCCCCGGATCTGACGGCTGTAGGGCCGGCGATTTTTTTGCGATAAATAACGAGGTCGCGTAGGGCCGGCGAATTAAATTATTGAGGATGTCCCTAGCGAAACGCTATTTGTTCAGAACTTGTTGAGGATGTCTCGAGCGAAACGCTTTTTTTTGTGATAGATTGTCTTCTCCTGGGGGCTAGAATTCAGAGGATCTCTTAAGTGAAATGCTTGTTTTCACGTGCCCAGGTCTTGAGGATGTCTCGAGCGAGACGCTTGGTTTCACGCCTCCAGGTTGCCCAGGCAGAGGTCTAGCGCCAGGATTTGTTGAGGATGTTTCGAGCGAGACGCTTGGTTTCGCGCGTCCTCGTCGCCCAGGCGGATGTCTAACATGAGGATGTGTTGAGGAAGTCTCGATCGAGATGCTTGTTTGCACGTGTCCAGGTTGCCCAGGCGGATGCCTAGCATGAGGATGTGTTGAGAATGTCTCGAGAGATACGCTTGTTTTCACGTGTCCAGGTCGCCCAGGCGGATGTCGAACATGAAGATGTGTTGAGGATGTCTCGAGCGAGACGTTTGCTTTCACGTGTACAGGTCGCCAGGCGGATGTCTAGAATGAGGAGGTGTTGAAAACGTCTCGAGCGAAACGCTTGTTTTCACGTGCCCAGGTCACCCGGCGGACGTCTCACATGAAGATGTGTTGAGGATGTCTCGAGCGAACCACTTGTTTTCACGTGTCCAGTTCGCCCAGGCGGATGTCTAGCATGAGAATGTGTTGAGGATGTGTTGAGCGAAACGCTTGTTTTCACGTGTCCAGGTCGCTCAGGCGGATGTCTAGCATGAGGATGTTGACAGGATGTCTCGAGCGAAACGCTTGTCCCCAGCACGTTCCGTAGCGCGTCCCCTTGGCACGTCCCGCGGTGCGACCCCATGGCACGTCCCCTGGCACGTCGCTTGGCGCGTCCCTTGAGACGTTCCGCGGCGCGTCCTCCTGGCATGTCCCCATGTCAATTAGCTCTGGGGCAGCTACGATGTGTTCAGGCAGCTCGAGCTTAAGATCAAGATCAGTTCGGTCAGGACTCGGATGCAAAGGAGGACTCGATCCACGACGCTATAGAGCACAATCGCGGCATGGCACATCGCAAGTCAGCACAGCGCAGCACAGCACAGCCCTCGGCAGGGTACATCAAGATCGATACACTCGGCATTGCAACTTGGCACGTTCCTTGGCATGTTCCGTGGGGCGTCCCTTGGCGAGTCCCCCTGGCACGTCGCGTGGCGCGTCCCCTGGCACATCCCGCGGCACAACCATTGGCACGTTCCGTAGCGCGTCCCCTTGGCACGTCCCGCGGTGCGTCCCCGTGGCACGTCCCTTGGCACGTCGCCTGGCGCGTCCCTTGGGACGTTTCGCGGCGCGTCCTCCTGGCATGCCCCCCTGTCAATTAGCTGTGGGGCAGCTACTATGTGTTCAGGCAGCTCGAGCTTAAGATCCAGCTCAGTTCGGTCAGGACTCGGATGCAAAGGAGGATTCGATCCACGACGCTATAGAGCACAATCGCGGCATGGCACATCGCAATTGAGCACAGCGCAACACAGCACAGCCCTCGGCAGGGTACATCAAGATCGATACACTCGGCATTGCATTTGCCCGTCACCCAATCAGGTGTCTTTGGAAACGTTGCCATGCGTTACATTTATGCATTCCTTTCCGGGTTCGTGGGTCGATCATGTTTTCAATACGGGGTCCCTAGAAGTCTCGACCCATTCCCCAGGACCAGTTTTTCATTTTGAGTAGTTTTTTGATGCTCCCGAGGCCCGGTAAGGGCCCCCAGAGATCGAAACATACAAAACTAAAAAAACAAAAACATACAAAAACGTCCTGATCTTTTCAGTACGTTGGATCTCTGGGTCTCCGAGATTCTCGATGTGTCCTCGCCCGAGTGGATCCTCGTCCTGGCCTCGCCTTGCCGACGAGCGAGGAGGGAGGAGGGAAGGAGGAGGGAGGAGGGAGCAGGGAGGTGGGAGGAGGGAAAAGGGAGGGCGGAGGGGAGGAAGGAGGGAGGAGGGGAGGAGGGAGGAGGGAGGAGGGAGGAGGGAGGGAGGGGGGAGGGGAGGGGAGGGGGGGGGGGGAGGGGAGGGAGGGAGGGAGGGAGGGAGGGAGGGAGGGAGGGAGGGAGGGAGGGAGGGAGGGGGAGGGAGGGAGTGAGGGAGGGAGGAGGAGGAGAGGAGGGAGGAGGAGGAGGAGGAGGAGGGATCCTCGTCCTGGCCTCGCCGGAACCGAGGAGCGAGGCGAGCCCGCTGGGCGGCCGCAGCGTCGGCAGGCCCAGCGCCAGGGCCTCCGCGCCGCCGGGGCTCGGCGAGCCCCGCGCCGCGCCCGGCCTCGGGGTGGCCGGGCAGCTGCTGTTGGCGCGGGGCACAGGCGCGGGCGGCCCTCGTCGCAAGTCGTCAAGCAGTGGCGGAGCGTCCCAGCTCGCGTATGTAGCCTCACCAGACAAAGTTCTAAGAACCTTTTTTTGTGGTTCCCACGAGATGTGCTTAGAACACTTCTGGCTGGGACTGTCTTGTTTTAGCACATCGGGTTTAGGTTAGGAGAGCCTTGTTTCTGTTATTAGAACATTTCTGGGTTCCAAGAACGGTCCCTGCTCAAAATCGGCACGAACGAACTGGGTACGGAAAGAGGGGGCACAATGCCCAACATCATCTCCTGTGCATTTTGAACGGGACTCGCTGTCGGTGTCGCCGCGGCCTGTGTCCAGTTTGGACAGATGGCTGCCTGCCCAGCAGTGGCCACTGTTGGTTTGGGGCATCTTTTGTTGTTGGGCACTGTGCCCATTTCTTCCGTACCCATTTCGGGCGTCCAAATGGTCGCAAAGCATGGGTGCATCGTGTACACTCGTACAGACGATCCAAGGTAATCATAAGATTACGTTGGGCACGTCCCTCTACAGGAGGAGTATTCGAAAACTGTAAAGAAAAATTAGAATTCTGGGGACAATTTGTTCACCATGTTTGAACATTTTTTGGGGGCATTCTTTGACTTTTTCATTTTTTCACCCAAAATCGGCCTGTAGGGGGACAGGCCCGGCTTTATTATAAGATCGAGGCTGGTTCGACCGTAAAAAAAAGGTGCGGACGCCCACGGTCGCCAAGCATGGGGGCATCGTGTTCTGTTGCTCCCATCGTGCTTCAGGGCCACATCCCAGAAATAATTTGGAGCACCCTGGAAAGTGTCGAAGCAGTGTCAGACGAGTGTCCCCCAGGGCCCGACACGTGAAAACCCATTCGATTTTCAGTATTTTCTTGGTGCTCGAAATTATTTAATTGAACGCCCCTGAGGGGGCAGACACCGCCGCCCCACTTTTTTTTGGGAACGCGAAGGTTGCGTGGGGGGCAAATCGGGATGTAGCGGGGGTGTTCACTCAGCTTTGGCTGGGCTTTGTCAGTAATCTCTTCGTGCTGTGGGTATGTACCTCCTCTCACCCGCGCCTCCGGCTGGTGTCTGTTGGGAGCGTGCGCGCGCCAGGCTGTGTGATGTGAGGGTGCGGAAGGATTCAAGGCTCCGGCCTGGTATTCTTGGACAAGAGGGTGCCATAAGGCCCGGGAAGGTACGACAGTAGGGAAGGCTCCCCCCCAGTATTCTTGGACAGTAAGGTCTCAGAGGGCCTGGAAAGATACGAAAGTGGGGTCTTAAAGCCTTCCTCAAGCCCCAAGAGAGCCGGAAAATTACCAACAAAAAGACGCCAGACTGGACAATAAGGTCTCAGAGGGCCTGGAAAAATCCGAAAGTGGGGTCTTAAAGGCTCTCAGAAAGCCCCAAGAGAGCCGGAAAATAATTTTAAAAGGCAACAGAAAGCCCTCTGAGAGTCTGAAAATGATTTAAAAAGGACGCCTGAGGGTGTGCAAAAGTGTGGACGAAATGAAGAGGCATACGGAGAGGCGTACAAACGAGATCCGAGTTAGTTTGGGGGCCTCAAAAGGGACTCCAGGGACCCCCTTGGGCGCGCCCAGGACGGCCCAAGAAAGCCCCACAAATGCTGCCAGACGGCCCAGGCCGGGGTCGGGAGGCGTGCAAGAGCCCGCGAAGACGCACGTGAGCCCGAAACGATGCAAGAATAGAGGCTCGACACGGCCAGAATGGACATGCTCACATGTGTTTTACGAGGTTTTTTGCGTGTTGTTTTTTGTAGTCGAAGTGGGCCGAGGAGAGGCGGGCGGGCTGCTGCCAGACTGGACCAAAATGGCTTGGAGGACGGCCAAGATCGCCCCAGGAGAGCGTCTGGAGGCCTCCAAAGTCGAGTCAGTGGGATTCCGGAGAGGCCTCTGAGAGAGGCCGGCGGCGCCTTGAAGACGAACGTTTCCAACGAGGTGTGCTCTGAAGCGAAAATGATGGCCAAAGAGCGCTCATTCCGCAGCTGTGGTCCCCGGGCCGGCGGAATGAGCAGGCCGCGGGGAGGACCCCAGGAGGGGTTGCAAGGGCTCTGAGGAATGGGCATTGGTACGAGGAGTTCGTGCGCGCGCAGATTGAGGGGACTGAGTTCGTGCAGACCATGCGGCGGGGATCTCACGCGCCGTTCCCGGTGGGGCGGCGGATCGCTTCGCTCATTCCGCCAGCCCTGGGGCGCCATTTGGGGCCTCTTGGGGCCGTCTTGGGGCCATCTTGAGGGCTTCTTGGGAGCGTCTTGGGGCTCCTTGGCGGCGTCTTGGGCTCCCCTGGGGCCTCTTGGGGGCTCTTGGGGGCCCCTAGGGGCGGGAGAGGGGGGGCAGTCGATTGCAGCCACCCCCTCGGAGGCCACGATCCTCGTGAGGGGTCGTAAAAAATAGCTTCCCCCCTGGGGATCGCCCGGGACCCGGCCAGGACACGGCCGGGGGTCAGCCGGGGTACTTTTCGTCTGGGGCCCCCCAGGGGCCGCCCCGCGCGCGCGAATTAGAAATCTTGTCAAGTAGTTACCGGAGATCTTAGCACGCATCTGGCCCGTCGGGCCAGTGGTGGTTCAGCAAGCGTGTACCCTCGTGCAGACGATCCAAGGTAATCATCAGATTACGTCGGGCACGTCCCTCTACAGGAGGAGTGTTCGAAAATAGTCTAACAATATTATGGGGGCGATTTTTTTTTGAATTGCTGAGCCTTTTTTGCATTTTTATCATTCGTCCAAAATCGGCCTCTAGGGGGACAGGCCCAGCTGCTGGCGCGGGCCACGGGAGCAAGCGGCCGCGGTCGCAAAGCCTGGGGGCATCCCAGACATGATCGCGTCGGAAAAAATCAGGATAATAAGTTCTTGCAAGTGAAAAAAAACGATTCAGGATGAAAAACTCGCCCCGGGGAAAGGTTGGGGTGTTGCTAGAAGTGCCCCTGGGCCAAGGTGCACCCAGGATTCTCGGGGTAGCCCAAACGGCTTAAACAGAACCCCTGACGAGGCCCAGAGGGCCCCAGGGGCTCCAAAATGGAGCGAAAAGCTGGGCGCACAAGGGCGCTTCTAGCAACACCCGACAGAGCATGGAGGCATCGTCATGTTGCTTCCATTGGACTCAAGGGCCACATCCCAGAAATAATTTCGAGCTCCCGGAACAGTATCGAAACAGTGTCGAACGAGTGTCTCCCAGGGCCTGACACGTGAAAACCAATTCGACTTTCGGTACTTTCCTGGTGCTCGAAACGATTTCTGGTGATTCGGGCTAAAGTAGGCCGGAACATCATAAGCATCGTGTGCCCTCGTACAGACGGTCCGAGGTAATCATAAGATCGAGATCGGTTCGGCGACTGGAGGTTTTTGTCGCCAGCTTCGGTCTCTAGGGGCCCACCGTCAGAAAGCGACTCAGGTTAGGTCGGGCCTGTCCCCCTACAGGGAGATTTTGGACGGACAAAAAAAAATAGACCCCACAAATATTCCAAAAATGCTTTCAAGCAAAATCGTCCACGGACTATTGTTGGATTTGTTGTGGAATTTTCCCCCTGCAGAGGGGCAGGCCCAGCTTACGACTCAGGACGAAAAGCCTGTCCCGTGGGAAGGTGCCCAGACTTGTGGAGGTCGATAGTTGGAGAAACTTACGACGTTGGGGGCCAGGGTTCGGGGAGGGTGCCACTGATGCTCTTCGCGTCTGCAGGATGTCCCCGTGCGCCCGTGGGGAGGGGTGCCCCCGGATGTCCTGCTGGTCTTGGCCGACGGAGGGCCTCGGGTTCTCGGGGGATGCGCTTCCGGAATCAAAAGGCTGGCCTCGGGACGATTTGGTGGACCCTTTCTGGGCATGCTCGGAGCACCACCGGTTTTTTTTTTAAATATATATATATATATATATATATAAAATGTCGTCCGAAATATATCCCTGTAGGGGGGCAGGCCCGACCTAAGCCTAGGTCCGAGTGTAATGCGCTCCCTCGGCACGTCCGCGGCGGAGTGCGTGTCCCGAGCGCGCCCCGCCCCCTTGGCCTCTCCCGCGGCCTCCTCCACGCCTGTGCCTCCACTGATTTCCAGGCTTGTCCCGCCCGTAGCCTTAAGCCGGGCCTGTCCCTCTACAGGAGGAAGATCCTAACATAGTCCCACAATAGTGCGGCGACCATTTGTTGTATAGTTTCGTTGAATATGTTTTGAATATGCTTGAACTGTTTCTCCAGAATCTCCCTGTCGGCTGTAGGGGGACACGCCCGACTGAACCGCAGCCGGACCAGCGCCTGCACCAGCTTCGGTCCGCTTGCGCCCGCGGATTCGTTCCGTCCTTGGAGCGCGCTGGCGTCGATCAGCACCTGGTCGTCGATGAGATGGCGTCGGTCTGGCGTCGACCACCGTCGACTCGCAAGCGCGAGCAACCCAGACCCCCGACGTCCTGGTTTTGTTCCACGACCCGTCTGGAGCCCCTGGCCAAAGCCCAGCCGTTCCTCCTGAGTCGTCCCTGGACGGTCCCGAGGCCCGGTGAGGGCCCCGAGGGGCCGAAAATGAAGAAGACCTCCCGTCGTGATTTTCGGCAAGACCAACGGGGGTCTGGGAAGAGGGTGCTAGTGATAGTGGGAGGAGGAGGAGGAGGAGGCGGAGGAGGAGGAGGAGGAGGAGGAGGAGGAGGAGGAGGGTACAGCATAGGAGGCCCCCGTGCATTGCCGCGGCAGGCTGGGCGGGCTCGGGCGGCGCGCCTGCCAAGGGCTCCGCGGGGGTCTCCTCCGCGGGGCCCCCCGCGGCAGCCCCGAAGAGCTCCGTGGTGGCGGCGCTGCTGGAGGCAGAGGGGGGGGAGGGGGGAAGCGGCACGAGCGCAGCCTTCCCAGAGATTCAACGCATTGAAAAAATCATGGCGGAAGGTTTTCTCCATGTTCAGCCTCTGGAGGCCCTAGCCAAGCCCCGGGACCGTGGACAAAACGGCGCAGGGTGAAAGACTGACCCCGGGGAAAGGGTCGGGTTTTCGGGGGACGCCGTCCTGAAAAAAGTAGGACGTCGCATGTCTGGGTGGGCAGATGCGCCGGGTCTACGAAGAGACGTGGGATAACCCGTAGAGATCTACGGAGAGTCTGGGTCTTTCTCCCCCGTAGTTTCAACGCAGATCTACGAACAGTCTGCGTCTTTCTCCCTCGTAGCTTCGACGCGAAAATCAGATCTGGGGTGAACCGATTCTGTAGTCGATCCCCTAATCACTCGAAGCCCTCCTACGAGATTTCCGCGCGGAGAAATCTTGGATCTGCGCTGGCCCCCCCTCCCGGCGGCGCCGCCCGCGGCGTGCAGCCGAAAGCTACGTAGGGGCGAGCGGAGCCCCGGAGGTGGCTGCTCGTGCCGCCCTCTCCTCTGCCTGGAGGAGGAGGAGGAAGAGGAGGAGGAGGAGGAAGAGGAGGAGGAGGAGGAGGAGGAGAAGCAGGAGGAGGAGGAGGAGGGAGGAGGAGGAGGAGGAGGAGAAGGAGGAGGAGGATGAGGAGGGCGGCCAGGGAGGAGGAGAGGAGAGAGGAGGAGGACGGCCAGGCAGGAGGAGGAGGAGGAGAGGAGGAGGAGGAGGAGGAGGAGGAGGAGGACGGCCAGGGAGGAGGAGGGGGACGGCCAGGGAGGAGGAGGAGGAGGAGGAGGAGGAGGAGGAGGAGGAGCAGGAGGAGGAGGAGAAGGAGGGGCCCCGCAGGGGCTTCGCACCCCCTGTTTTGCAAGGCTCCGAGGCTCCTGGGGGGCTCTCTGGAAAAAAACCTCCCCCCGAACCCCCTTTGGAACCCTCTGGTAGGAGGAGGAGGAGGAGGAGGAGGAGGAGGAGGAGGAGGAGGAGGCGGAGGAGGAGGAGGAGGGGAGGAGAGGAGGGAGGAGGAGGAGGGAGGAAGAGGATCAGTAGAAGGAGGAATAGGATGAGCAGGGGGAGGAGGAGGAGGATGGGGAGGAGAGGGAAGAACAGAAAAAAAAAAAAAAAAGGGGGAGGAGGAGAGGAGGAGGAGGAGGAGGATGAGGAGGGGAGGAGGGTCGGAGACGGAAGAGAAAACATGAGGGAGGCTGAGACGAGGACATGAGGAATAGGAGGAGGAGGCAAGGCGGAGGCGTGAGGAGGAGGAACAGAGAAGCGGAGGAGAAGAGGATTGGGAGGAGGAGGAGTAGGAGGAAAACGAGGAGAGGAGGAGGAGGAAAAGAGGAGGAGCAGTAGGATCAGGAGGAGGAGAGGAAGAGGAGGAGGATGAGGAGATGAGGAGGAGGAGGAGGAGGAGTAAACAGAAGTGAGTAGAAGGAGGAGGAGGAGGATAGGAGGAGGAGGAGGAGGAAGTGGCTGCTCGTGCCGCCTTCGCATCTGCCCGCGCAGGGCGCCGCGGGGCCCCCGCCGGGCGTCGTCGAGCGGCGGGGCTCCGAGGCTCCCGGGGGGCTCTCTGGAAAACCCCCTCACCCCGAACCCCCTTTGGAACCCTCTGGTAGGAGGAGGAGGAGGAGGAGGAAGGAGGAGGAGGAGGGAGGAGGGAGAGGAGGAAGGAGGAGGGGGAGGAGGATCAGGGAAGGAGAAGAGCCGAGGCAGGAGGAGGAAGAGGACAGGAGGAGGAGGATGAGTGAGGAGGGGAGGAGGAGAAGAACAGGAGGAGGAAGGATGAGGAGGAGGATGAGGAAGAGGAATAACATGAACGAGAGGAGGAGGATTGGAGGAGGAGGATGAAGGAGGAGGAAGAACAGTATGATGATGAGGGGGAGGAGGAGATAGAGGAGGTCGGAGGGAACAGGATGAGGGGAGGAGGAAGAAGGAGGTAGAAAGATATGATGATAGGAGGATGAGGAGGAGAGAGGAGAGGAGAAACAGCAGGAGAGGAGGGAGGAGAGGAGGAGGAGGAGGAGAGGAGTAGGAGGAGGAGGGGGAGAGTAGGAGGAGAGGAGTTAGGAGGAGGAGGAGGAGGAGAGGGCATGAGGAGGAGGAGGAGGAAGGAGGAGGACGGCCAGGGAGGAGGAGGAGGAGGAGGAGGAGGAGGAGGAGGAGGAGGAGGAGGAGGAGGAGGAGGAGGAGGAAGAGGAGGAAGTGGCTGCTCGTGCCGCCTTCGCATCTGTCCGCGCAGGGCGCCGCGGGGCCCCCGCCGGGCGTCGTCGATCGGCGGGGCTCCCTGAGGGCCCCCGCGGAGCAGACGCCGCCGCAGACTGGGCGAGGCCAGGGGCCTGCGCCGCCGCAGGTCGGGGCGGTGCCAAGGGCAGGTCGGGCCTGCCCCCCTCTGCAGGGGACGTTTTTTTTGATTATTCGTGGATGTGTATTGGATCTTGCTCGAGTGCTTTTATTCTTCGCTCGAAATCCGCCTGCAGGAGGGCACGCCCGATCTGAGGGAAGTGAGATCGAAGGGGCGGGCTCGGGCCTGCCCCTCTACAGGAGGAAGGTTCCAAAAGAGTCAAAAATAGTCTGGGGACGATGTTGAGAGTCGGGGGGGGGGCAAGGTTAAGTCGGGGGGTGCCAAGGTTAAGTCGGGCCTGTCGGGGGGGTGCCAAGGTTAAATCGGGGGGTGCCAAGGGCAAGTCGGGCCTGCCCCTCTACAGGAAGAATGTTCAAACATAGTATAAAAATAGTCAGCTGACGATTGTTTGAGGATTTGTTCTGATATTTCTGAATACTTTTGGGCTACGTTTTAATGTTCCGACCCATTCCCAGGACCGGTTTCTCATCTTGAGTCGTTGCTTGACGGCCCCGGGGCTTGGCGAGGGCCCCTAGAGGCCTAAAAATGAGAAACACTTCCGTCATGTTTTTTTCAATACGTTGGATCTCTGGGTGGTAAGTCGGGCCTGTCACTCTGCAGGGGGAATGTTCAATTATCCCGGCAAAGCAACCTAACAGCGATGTGTAGGAGCATATCTGGAAGCATTATCCTTAAGATTCAGATGAGAATCCAGTTGTAGAATTCTGCTGTTCTCGCAGTCGTAATCGCATTCGCGATGACAGTCGCAGTGGCAACGGCAGTCGCAGTCACAGCCTCAGCCTCAGCCTGCCTCAGCCTCAGCCTCAGCCTGCCTCAGCCTCAGCCTGCCTCAGCCTCAGCCTCAGCCTGCTTCAGCCTCAGCATCAGTCTGCCTTCAGCCTCGGCCTCAGGCTCAGCCTGCCTCAGCCTCAGCCTGCATCAGCCTCAGCCTCAGCCTCAGCCTGCATCAGCCTCAGCCTCAGCCTGCCTCAGCCTCAGCCTGCCTCAGCCTCAGCCTCAGCCTGCTTCAGCCTCAGCCTCAGTCTGCCTTCAGCCTCGGCCTCAGCCTCAGCCTGCCTCAGCCTGAGCCTGCATCAGCCTCAGCCTCAGCCTCAGCCTGCCTCAGCCTCAGCCTGCCTCAGCCTCAGCCTCAGCCTGCCTCAGCCTCAGCCTCAGCCTGCTTCAGCATCAGCCTCAGTCTGCCGCAGCCTCGGCCTCAGCCTCAGCCTGCCTCAGCCTCAGCCTGCCTCAGCCTCAGCCTGCATCAGCCTCAGCCTCAGCCTCAGCCTGCCTCAGCCTCAGCCTGCATCAGCCTCAGCCTCAGCCTGCCTCAGCCTCAGCCTCAGCCTGCTTCAGCCTGAGCCTCAGTCTGCCTTCAGCCTCGGCCTCAGCCTCAGCCTGCCTCAGCCTCAGCCTGCATCAGCCTCAGCCTCAGCCTCAGCCTGCCTCAGCCTCAGCCTCAGCCTGCCTCAGCCTCAGCCTCAGCCTGCCTTCAGCCTCGGCCTCAGCCTCAGCCTGCCTCAGCCTCAGCCTGCATCACCTCAGCCTCAGCCTCAGCCTGCCTCAGCATCAGCCTGCCTCAGCCTCAGCCTCAGCCTGCCTCTGCCTCAGCCTCAGCCTGCTTCAGCCTCAGCCTCAGTCTGCCGTCGGCCTCGGCCTCAGCCTCAGCCTGCCTCAGCCTCAGCCTGCATCAGCCTCTGCCTCAGCCTCAGCCTGCCTCAGCATCAGCCTGCCTCAGCCTCAGCCTCAGCCTGCCTCAGCCTCAGCCTCAGCCTGCTTCAGCCTCAGCCTCAGTCTGCCTTCAGCCTCGGCCTCAGCCTCAGCCTGCCTCAGCCCCAGCCTGCATCAGCCTCAGCCTCAGCCTCAGCCTGCCTCAGCATCAGCCTGCCTCAGCCTCAGCCTCAGCCTGCCTCAGCCTCAGCCTGCCTCAGCCTCAGCCTCACCCTGCTTCAGCCTCAGCCTCAGTCTGCCTTCAGCCTCGGCCTCAGCCTCAGCCTGCCTCAGCCTCAGCCTGCATCAGCCTCAGCCTCAGCCTCAGCCTGCTTCAGCATCAGCCTGCCTCAGCCTCAGCCTCAGCCTGCCTCTGCCTCAGCCTCAGCCTGCTTCAGCCTCAGCCTCAGTCTGCCGTCGGCCTCGGCCTCAGCCTCAGCCTGCCTCAGCCTCAGCCTGCATCAGGCTCAGCCTCAGCCTCAGCCTGCCTCAGCATCAGCCTGCCTCAGCCTCAGCCTGCCTCTGCCTCAGCCTCAGCCTGCTTCAGCCTCAGCCTCAGTCTGCCTTCAGCCTCGGCCTCAGCCTCAGCCTGCCTCAGCCTCAGCCTGCCTCAGCCTCAGCATCAGCCTGCCTCAGCATTCAAAATGTGGCCAGGAATGGAGTTCTGGGAACTCGAAGAACACGAAGTGGCCTACAGTTGGCTCCGCGCATTCAAAATCATGCCCAGGAATGGACTTCTGGGAACTCGAAGACCACGAAGTGGCCTACAGTTGGCTCCAGGTATTCAAATCATGCCCAGGAATGGAGTTTTGGGAACTCGAAGACCACGAAGTGGCCTACAGTTGGCTCCGGGCATTCAAGATGATGCCCAGGAGTGGACTTCTGGGAACTCGAAGAACACGAAGTTGCTTACAGTTGGCTCCGGGCATTCAAAATCATGCCCAGGAATGGAGTTCTGGGAACTCGAAGACCACGAAGTGCGTTACTGTTGGCTAAAAAAGGAGTCCCCGGATCCCGTCCGGATCCCGCCCAGACCCCCCTGGGGAGTCATGCTGCTCTCTTTTGACCCTACTAGAAACCTATCAGTCTTCGCTGTTTGGTAAAACTATGTAAACAAAATGGTCCTGGGACGATGTTTGGAGCATTTCTTTTTTGCTACTTTTGAGCATTTTGGGGCTCTGTTTTCATGTTTCGTCCAAAATGCGGCTGTCGGGGGGACACGCCCGACCTAGGGGGTGCCAAGGTTGAGTCGGGCCTGCCCCTCTACTGGAGGAATGTTCCAAAATAATTAAAATTCGTCCGGGGACGATTTTTGTTGGGCATTTTTTTTGCTACGTTTGAGCATTGTTGGGCTATGTTTTGAATTGCTTCTTCCACAGTGCGCCTGTAGGGTTAGGTTGCTCCCATCGTACTTAAGGGCCACATCCCAGAACAACAATTTCGAGCACCCAGAAAATGTCGAAACAGTGTCGAAGCATTGTCGCCTCTCAGGGCCCGACACCAAAAAGCCAAAGTTCCGGTACCTTCTTGGTGCTCGAAATTCTTTCTGGTGGTCCAGGCTAAAGTAGGTTGGAACATCATAACTGTAGAGGGACAGGCCCGACCTGATGCCTCGGGCTCGGGCTCGGGGGGGCGCCACTGCAGCCGGGTCGCGGGCCCCCTCCTCTCGAGGGGCTGGGGCTCGAGGGCCCCCGCCCGACGAGTACTGGGGTGCTGTGGGAGGGCCTGCGGGGGGTCGAGGAGGGGGCCCAGACATGCTCGCGTCGTTAAAAATAGCAGGAAGGGCAGTTTTTCGCCGCTTTCGGCCTCTGGAGGCCCTCGCTGGGCCCCGGGACCGTGAAAAAACCACGCAGGGTGAAAAACCGCCCCCAGGGAGCCGCGTTGAAAAAGGCAGGACGTCGCATGTTTGGGGGGAGGGGTCCCCGAGGGGGGACCCTGAGATCCTGGCGTCTCAATTGTTTCGAGCCATGCTTTTTCGCATTTTGTCGGGCCCAGGACCCTCACAGATCGGTCCGGCTCGAGAGATGCGAAAGATGACGCAGGAAGACGGGGCTCAGGGCTCCAGGCGTGACTGTTCACGACGTTGCCACTTTCTCGCGGCGTCCGGTCTCCGGGGAGGGCTCCCCGAGGGGGTCCTCGCTGCGGCGGCGAGCCTCCCGCGTGGCGACCTCCCCCCCGCCGGGCGCCGCCGCCTGCAGGCGCCCGCTCCCGCGGCGGACCGGGCGCCGACGGAGCCTCGCGCGGGCGGCGCCGCGGTGCGGCCGCTGGCGCAGCCGAAGCCGAAGGCGGCGAGCACGAAGGCGCCGAGCGAGGGCGCCGGGCCCAGGGCGGGAGGCGCCGGGCCGGGGGCGTCGGAGCCCAGCAGCGCGCGCGGCGCCCAGAGGCCCTGCGGGCCCCGCGGCACGCAGCTCGTGCTGGGCAGGTACCGCATGGACATGACGGAGGACGGCTTCATGGGCGAGGGCACCTCGAGCACCTGCCGGAAGCCAGGGAGGAAGCGTCGGCAGGCACCGAGCGCGCCCCACGGCTCGCAGAGTGCCTCCACTCCTCGCGCACGCGTCCGAAAAGCACAGGTTTGGCGTGGTGTAGTGGATCGTAAATCCCCCGCAGTAGTTACTTTTCGACTCGTGGAGCACGCTAGTCCAGGCATGGACGCTTGGATCGGCCTTGGACCCCCTGGCGGCGCATCCAGCGCCCATCCAAGAAATCCGCGCGGATCTCCGACGTTTGATGTTTTTGCAGAACTGCTTTCCTCCAGGAAGGGCGTGGACACACAGACGGAGAAGACGGTGGCGATCAAGACTTACAAGGCGCGGAAGAATGACAAGGTGGCGCTGGTCAAGTTCTTGAGACAGATCGAGGTGCTGCAGGAGAGGGCCCCCTTCGATCTTCGATCCGATCCATCCGATTCGATATCTGTGTCAGGTTTCGGCCAGCCTGATCCGACTCTTTCCGATATTTTGGCCATCCAGCGGGGCCCAATTCTTGAATGGCGCTGCTGTGCATCTGTGCGCGGCCGAGCCGACTCGATCCCCACCCCGTGCCGACGCGGCCCAATCCGATGTCGACTCCGATCCAGTCCGATCTTGCACGACCCGGAGATGGGGAAGGGGGAGGAGAGGGGGGAAGAGGGGCGACCGGAAGGGGGAAGAGAGGAGAAGGGAGATGGATGAGAGGAGAAGGGAGGGGGCAAGAGGGGAGAGCGGAGAGCTGGAGGGGGAGGAGAGGAGAAGGGAGGGGGTGGCGAGGGGCAGGGGCAGGGGAGGAGAGGCGAGGGGGAAGGGGGACTCCTCTTCGTCCTGCTCCCAACCGATCCATCAGGAGCTGAGCCGCCCCTTCGAGACGCCTGCCGACCCCGAGCTGTGGAGCCAGGAGCCGGGAGGGCGTCCACCGAGCACCTCGCCGAGCTTGGCCGGGCCTAGCCTGCACCGACCCCCTGTGTCGTCGAGCCGCTGGCATAAGTATTACTTTGGGCTCGGATAGGCTCCTCCTCCTCCTCCTCCCCCTCCGCCTGCTCCTCCTCCTCCTCCTCCTCCTCCTCCTCCTCCTCCTCCTCCTCCTCCTCCTCCTCCTCCTCCTCCTCTCACAGGGCTCCTCCTCTCACAGCTCCTCCCCCTCCTCCTCCTCCTCCTCTTCCTCCTCCTCCTCCTCCTCCTCCTCCTCCTCCTGCTCATCCTCCGAGGGGCTCGGGTATTTGGGCCGACCCAGTCGTGGAAGAGGCCCGCCGTGGTCAGAGAGGCCCCTTCGTTCCTTATCCAGCGCGCTCTCTGGTAGTACCTCTAAGTCGGGCCTGTCCCTGAAACTAGTCAAAAATAGCCAAAACTAGTCAAACATAGTCTTCGGATGAATCTCCAAACCTAATATAAAATAGTCTGGGGACGATTGTTTGAGTATGTTTGAACATGCTTTGGCTATTTTCTTACAACTTTTCATTTTTCGTCCAAAACTCTCCTGCAGGGAGACACGCCCGATTTAATAGCACCTCGACTGTATCCCCTGACCTCGCGTCAGCACTAGAGCTTTTTCTTTTGTTTCTCAATTTTCAGCGCCCCTGGGCACTCACTGGGCCACCGGACCGTCAAAAAGACTGGTTCAGGATGGAAGACTTGTCCCAGAGCAGGCGGGGTCCAGTCCTCTGGGGGTCCACGTTGTGAAACAGTCACGCGTCGGGGGTCGGGTCCACGCCCTCATGGCTTGGCCATGGAGCCGTGGACACTTGTCCTGGGCCCTGGGATGGGCTGGGCCATGGCCGGCGAGGTGGTCAGTGGACATCCCCCGGAGGAGCTGGCTCAGACGATCCCGGCGCAGGTCTTCATGCAGCTGCTCGACTACTCGAGGGACGCGCGCGGGCAGCCGGGGCCGGATACCGCCGACGGCCAGCTGTACGTCGTCACCGAGATCGCGCAGTACAGCCTGCAGGACTACCTCAAGACCCAGCGGGAAGAGGGCAGGCCCCTGTCGAAGGAGCCGGACGGCGAGATCTGTACGTGTAGGGTGTTCCAGGGAGGGCCTCGCTTTCGAAGATGGAAGGAGTTGCCATCTCTTCCGCAGCGGAAGGGCGGCGGAAACAGAACGAGGCCGCCTCCGCCGGCGGAAGCCGGCGGAAGGATGGCGGAAGGATAGCGGAGGGCGGCGGCAGTAGAAGATGCGTCCCCCAAGAGATGAACACGTTTCTGGGTTCAGGGTTTCTGGGCCCTGGGTGGCTGCTAATGGACTGTGGCGGGCACCTGTCATCCTCTGGTGTTGGGTCCTCGTTTTGAAGAGACGGCGCCCCGCCAACTCCCCTCCCCTGCCCCCCCCCCCCCTTCCCACCCTCCCGTCCTTGCCTCTGCCCTCGGAATCCGCCACGTTCAGGGCGCTCGGCCTGCAGGGTGCCGCAGTTCCTCGGCGGGTAGGCCGGCAGGAGGCGGCGGGAGCGAAGCGGGTCCGCGGGTCCGCGGGAGGGAGGGGAATCGGCGGCGAGCCTGGGGGGGAGTGTTATGCAGGAGGGGAGAAATCACACAGACACTGTTAATCGTCGATTTCCAAGAAAATATTGGACAAAATATTAATATGGGAAGTGGGGGGGAGACAAGAACCCAGAAAATATGGGAAAATATTGCGAATCCTGTTATTTGTTTGTTTTTACTTGTGTGTCCCAAGGCCCTTTCAGTTATGTCGGGCCTGTCCCTCTACAGGAGGAGTATTCGAAAATAGTACACAATAGTCATTTGACAATGTTTCGATTATGTTTGAATATGTGTTGAACATGTCTTGAGTATTTTTTGTTTTTCGCCCAAAATCCGCCTGTAGGGGGGCACGCCCGACCTGAGGGAAGTGAGATTGAAGGGGCGGGCCTTCTCAAAAGGCTCGGAATCCCCCCGGCCTTTGAGAAGCTTTCCCGGCGTTCCCCGAAGACGCAGAAAACTTTTCAGAAGGCGCGAGGGTTTCTGAGAAGCCCCGCCGCCCTCTGAGAAGGCCTTCTCCGTCTCACTTCCCCCCCTCGCTCGCCGCCGAGGGAAGGAAGGGGAATTCCCGTTCAAAAGATGCACGCGCTCTTGGGGAGTCAGGGTTGCGGGAATGAGCCACACACGCACCGCCCCTGGCCAGGCCCCCTCTTGAGCCCGGACTGGTGAGCAGATGCGTTCATGGCCAAGCCATGGAGCGGGGGCGTATACGCCGATCCGAGGCCCAGGATGGGCTCGGCCAGGATCGCGGTGAGGGTGCAGCCGGCGTCCTCCGAGAGGAGACCATACGCAGCCTCGTGAGATCGATCATCCTGGTGACGGCCAGCCTGCACGCGAAGGGCCTGGTGCACCTGGATCTGAAGCCGGAGAATCTGATGATCTTCAACGGCGTTCTCAAGCTGATAGACGTGGACGGCTGTATCAAGATCGGCAGCGCAATCTCGATTGACGACGACTCTCTCTCCTTCTCCCCGCTCTACTGCTCCCCCGAGTGGGCGAACTTCCTGATCGACGGGGAGGAGGTGGAACCCAGCTTGACCGCGTCGCCCGCCTTGGACGTGTGGAGCGTCGGCATGACGGTGGTCGAGCTCGTTACCCGCGACCCGGTTCTGAAGTTGCAGTACTCGTGTTTCTTCCAGCACGGGCGCGATCGCGACGAGGCTCGAATGATATAATCCCCAAGACTTCACCAATTTTTCCTAAACGCGAGGCGGCCATCAACAGGAGCGCTCCCCACAAGAGAGCCCACTGAGAGGCCTGCAGCACCCTGCAGCATCTCGCCACAGAACGTCGGACTACGCTCAACGCCCACGGAGGCCGCGAGCTCTTGCCCGCAGGGCCTCCCACGAGCCCACGGGAAGGGGCGACGGCTGCGCAGTTGGCAGCCCCCCCCAACGGCCCCAGCGGAGCTGCGAGGTCTCGTCCCGGGTCCGTGTGCACCTCCTGTTCCGCTGGGCCCTCCAGGAGACCACGAGAGTGGAGCCTCCCAGGGAGTCGCGAGGTTTGGTCTTGGTGGCAGGAATGGCGCCTGCAGAAGCCAGAGGCGGGAGGAGGGAAGGAAGGAGGGAAAGGGTAGACGTGCGAGCAGTGCTCGATCCGAAACGAGGGCCCAACCAGAGGGAAGGGTTTAGAACTACACGAGCATCAGCTCTGGAGGTTCCGCGCGAATTTATCGGATTCGCGCTGCATGCTCCTTGGCGCGAGGAGCGCGCCAGCGAGGGGGGCACAGCGCAGATCCGAGCAACCCGCGCCGACCTTTGAAAATTGTTGTTTATGTTAGTTCGTCGTCTCTCAGGAGGGAAAAGCAACACAGCACATAGAGTCGCCAGTTCCCAGGAACAGATGGAAAATATGAGAAGCGGAGGGGAAGACGAGACCCCAGGAAATATGGACAAGAACAGGTGGGGTATCCAGGGATCTGGGCATATTTGTTTCCTGCTGGCGAGATTCTCCGGCTTACGCCACACCAGCGACCCCTTGGGGAACTGGCGGCTGTGGTGGGTTGCTCCTGAGAGCCTCTTGGGCGCCTTTCGGGGGCTTTTTCGTGCACGTTTGGGCGCTCCAGGGGGGCCTATGGGGGTGATGATGATGATGATGATGATGATGATGATGATGATGATGACGACGACGACGATGATGATGATGATGATGATGATGATGATGATGATGATGATGGTGATGGTGACGATGATGATGATGATGATGATGATGATGATGATGATGATGCTGATGATGATGATGATGATGATGATGATGATGGTGATGGTGAGGGTGATGGTGATTGTGATGGTGATTGTGATGGTGATGGTGATGGTGAAGATGATAATGGTGATGGTGATAATGATGATGATGATGATGATGATGATGATGATGATGATGATGATGATGATGATGATGATGATGATGATGATGGTGATTCTGATGATGATGGTGATGGTGATGATGAGCTTCGCAGGGGGTTTTCACGGTTCTCGAGGGACAGATGGCTCGAGATGCGGGGTCGGGTTCCTCTCCTGGCGCTGCGTGGCATGCATGTGCGGGTGCGGGTGTGTGTGTGTGTGTGTGTGTGGGTGGGTGGGTGCGCGTGTGTGTGTGTGTGCGCGTGTGTGTGTGTGTGTGCGTGTGTGCGCGAGTGTGTGTGTGAGTGTGGGTGCGCGTGTGTCTGTGTGTGTGAGTACGTGTATGTGTGTATGGTGTGGGTGTCTGTGTGTGAGTGTGTGTATGTGGGTGCGCGCGCGCGTGTGTGTGTGTGTGTGTGTGTGTGTGTGTGTGTGTGTCTGCGCGTGTGGGTTCGGGTGTGTGTTTGTGTGAGTGTGTGTGTGTGAGTGTGTGTGTGGGTGGGTGCGTGTGTGTCTGTGTGTGTGGTGCGTCTGTGTGTGAGTGCGTGTGTGTGTGTGTGAGTGTGCGTGGGTGCGCGTATAGGTGTGTGTGTTTGTGTGAGTGTATGTGAGTGTGAGTGTGTGTGTGTGTGAGTATGTGTGTGTCGGTGCGTGCGTGTGCGTTTGTGTGTGGGTGCGTGTGTGTGTATGTGTTTGTGTGTGTGTGTGTCAGTGCGTGGGTGCGTGTCTGTGTGTGCG